AAGAAATACGCTCTTTTCTTGCAGGTTTGAAGGACGTATCAGTTCGGAAATACCGCCGTTGAGAGATCATTCCACTGTTTTGCTGTGTGAAGCGCACATAGATGGCCTGCCAACCATCTATATGATGGGGATGGATACGCTATCATGGGGGATATATTAGATACATGTATCTAGTATAGTTTATTCATAAAATAAATCTAATATATGGAATAGAGACCTACAGTATAACACAAAGGCACCACATCATCGGGCCTGCGCGCGGCGAGTATGGGTGACGCGCCGTCCGATCAGAACCAGACTCGAGCGTATGGCGCGTCGTGTTTCCTGCGTGCTTCAAGAAGCCATCAGACCACCACAGATGGGACCCAATAGGGCTGATGCCGATACGGAGCCGCGGAAGACTTAACAGGTTGCCGGGAAGTGCAGGAGTAGGAACGTAGTGGTTTTTTGTCAGTAAAAGTTTGACACTCGGGTGGGAGAATTCATTGGATGATTTTAACCCTCAAAAAAAGGTACCACATCATTATGGTAGTGAACAACGCCTACGTCTAACAGCAGAATGATTATAAAGTTTTATTTCTTTTCAGAGCCAAAACTTCACGTTCTTCACAAGCTACCCTCATTAAACCTTTCGCTCCCAAATTATAGACACCTATACACATGCAAAAAGTTTTCGTATAAAAATTCTAGCATTTTTCCTTAGGGCTGGTAAAAAAGCAAAAAAAAAAATACGTTACATTTTATTCCACAGAGTAAAAAAACCTATTAAAAGTTGGGAGGTTAATGTTGTGTTAGAATGGGGCAATTATCCCTCACAAATGAAGATACTTTTTTTAAAGTGCCAGTTTCGTTTTTAAAAGACCGAGTGTAATTCAAGTCGCGAGTCTGTGTCATTCAGGTGAGATTCATTGCTACAACGGTTGAAAGTTTCTTCCAAGACGCAATATTTCTCGGGTCAAGAAAAATAAAAACGTGTTTGCTCTTTTACTATGCCTTTTGGCCGCTTTTGGGTCCCAAGCTGTTTTAAAATGGCTTCCTTGTAACTTGTTGTCGTTCTACGTTATCTTGGAAGTTTTAAGTTCGTCATAACTCAGCTGCGACTCAAGCTTTTTTTTTAAGGGGGAAAATCATCGAATGACTGCTCCCGCCTGGGTGAGGCGGAAGGGAGTGTCAGACTCTTACTGAATATAAACCACCCCGTTCCTTCTCCTGCACGTCGAGCCGGAGCCCCGGTTACCCGTTAGGTTCTCCGCGACTGCGATTCAAGCTTGGGTGTGTTCTTGAGTATATGCCTCTTTTAAAATGAAGTGTGTTAAAAGCTGCCTCGTTGGCTAAGTGGTCCCAAGTGCAACTGCCGGGCAAGGGGTCTCGGGCTCGATTCCTGGGTCGAGCAAAGTATTACTGGGTTTTTTAATAATTCTCAGTAGTAGTACGGAGTCTGGAATTGTACCCGGTATAATGGCAATAGGCTCACCCCCTATTACGTGGGACTTATAACATAAATAGTGAAAAGTGGATGTCACGTTCTACAGTGGCATAATGTGCACCTCTGCCTACCTCTACGGGGATAAAAGCCGTGATGTTATGTTGTATGTTAAAGGCTATAACGGTATCGTTCTACACCATCGACGATTTAAGTTTACGAAAACTATACTAGGGTTTTTAAAAAAAAAAAATACCTAGAATTGATGTTCGTTTCTCCGTCTTTATACTTACTTTTCTTCATTTAAGTGTCTCTTCGAATATGTCCATGTTGTCCTATGTGTAACCAAGTTGTGTTGATTTATCATTTATTCATTTTCGATGAATAGTTAATGGATATTCCATTATAAAATTGTAAACAGCTTAATATTATAATTTTGTGTAAAACTTGTGGCATCGACTTCTCACCTAACAGTGGGTGTAAAGCTATGTATGTACGTATAACCAATAATAGTTATTTTTTGCTTTTTAGTTTTTATTACTTTTTTCTTTTTATATTTGATGGGCCTACGTTTGACCACTATCTTGCCTAGTGGTAAGCGATTATGCGGTCTACGATGGAGCACGTCGATATATACAAAGAAATAGACCAGAAGATCAATTCAGAGAATCAGCATAAGAGAACAACAAGCTTCCAGTAGCAAGCCTTTTGAAGTCGATTAATAGAACAAGATAGTACACCTTTCTGAAGATAATAGATATATATTACAAACGGTAACAGGTAACAAGCTTGTCCATTTACTCAAGCAGCAATGACCTACTTTCTCTAATACTTCTCTTTTATTTCTCATTTCTATCTTTTCCTTTTAAAGTGCATTCATGCCCTGATTCTTTTGTATAGAGAATATTATTCCATTTGTTATTTTATGAGCACTGATGTAAGAGTTTCTTTTAGGTGAATGGTTATTTACCAAAGAGAAATAGAGTGAGTTTTTTCCTATTCTGTGCTTTGTGTGTCATTGTGAATTTATATTTATTGTTACTATGAAGTTTGTATACAGTATTTCACTAATTTAACGAACGATAATTAGAGTACGGATTGATTAAGATTCTATTTTTAAATTTCTATAATTTAAAAGAAAATAAAAAATAAAATATGTTATTTTTTGTTTTTTTATTTTTTTCCTCTGTGGTTCGAAACAAGTAGAGCTTTTCTCAGTATATTCACGTGATTAACCCGCGTTTTTACTTAATTTAGTACGTCTTACAATAGTTATTATAAAAATATGTTATGTTTCTTCCTACCTATAAAATAATGAAACCATAACATTCAAACAGCAATCAAACGTAGCTGTATCAATATTTACATTTCGGTATTTTTTTTCTATTAACACATACACACACACATAACATAACGCCTTTTACCCCCGACGGGGTAGGCAGATAGGCACTCAATGCCATATACCGGGCACGACTCCAAGCACGATTCCAAACACCGTGCTACTACTGAGATAAAAAAAAATCTAGTTATAAAGTATAACTCACCTGGGAATTGAACCCGAGACCACTCGGCCAACGAGGCAGTCTAGTCAGTTTTTCTATTAAATATACCTAAAAGTGAAACACAACACTGCCTCATTGTCCGAGTGGTCGCAAGTGCGACTGCCAGGCAAGGGGTCTCGGGTTCGATTTCCGGGTCGGGCAAAGTATTACTGGGTTTTTCAAAAATTCCCAGTGGTAGCACGGAGTCTGGAATTGTCCCCGGTATATGGCAATAGGCTCACCCCCTATTACATGGGACTCATAACATAAATAGTGAAAAGTGGGTGTTACATTGTACAGTGGCATAATGTACACCTCTGCCTACCCCTTCGGGGATAAAAGGCGTGATGTTATATTATATTATGAAACACAACAATCTTTCTGTTTACAAAAGGATCGAACTATACAATTTTTATTTGTGTTACGAATGAAACTTTTGTCAAACAACAAAACAACATTATTTTATCCGTGAGCTTGTCTACACAAAAATGCAGTCTCTAAATCCGAGTCCATAAGTCAAGAGTTTGACCCATTTAAACCCACCATCCTTCCTCCCGTCAAAGGCAACAATATAAATAAAACAATCTCCCATTTTATTCAAGATGTTTTATTACTGAAATCAGAATAATTTACATTGTAAAAAATACACATACTCCAAGTTTTACGCTAAGGTTAACACTTTTAGCTTTTTGGCTCTATTTTACAGTTTAAATATAGCTTTTAATCTAGATGTTAGATGTTCTTCTTGCTTATTGTTACAGATCGATTCACACATCAATTCATTTTTGATGTTAAAAACTTCAAAATAATATTGAGCAAAATAATTTTTGTTTTAGTTCGAATCGAGTTACATAAACAATTCATTCAATCATAATATGTGAATCGATTTTCGAGAAAATTTCTATTGAAAATTAAGTCTAACTTAGTTCTTTGGCATTCAAAGCAAATTGCTAAAGAGTTTCTATAATGAGATTTTTATAACACTATATTGGTGTAACAGAAATGATATTACAATCGCATTGTAAGGAAAATGGCGAAAATGAAGCAGAGTGGAGACTGCCATACAATGTGAAAGAATAATGAGAACTGCTAACTCATTTTTTTTAAACCCTCTCTGCTTCTATGAATGGCACTATACAACATCTACCAAGCACTGTAATTTCAAATGTTTATAATAATTAAAATCTCAAATGAAATTCATAGTTTCACAGAAGGCTTTGTGAATATCTAATTAATATACTTATCTAAGTACAGACTTACTATAATACTTATTAGTAAATAAAAATAAAAAAACTCCTCTCATCCGAGTTCGGTCTGAGAAGTCTCTTCATTTTAACGTCTCATTAAAAGTTTTTACACTTATTTGTATGAAAAATAAAAGCTGTGTCTTTGGATATTTTTAACACTAAAATAATTGCTACATATTTTATTGAATTACTGTCACGAAGTTTAATACTTAAGTAAACGATATGTATTTTATTTTTCTATTATTAACTCCCGAAGTATTGTCAGGGAAATACGAGTAGAAATATTGAAAATTGATTATTGAAAAATTGTTAATAAATTAAAATTGTACATAGATTTATTATTTATATGTTTATTCTCATTAGTGTAAGACACGACATCGTTTTGTACTAGAGCAAAAATCTGTAATAGTTAATTTTATAGATAGGTTTTCGAAAATAATTCTGTTATAATATTATGATTTTGAATAGATAGCATCGATCTAAATAATTTTGGAAGAAATTTTCGTTTGTATTTTGTTTTATTTGCAGAAGCTTCTTATTCAAATGGTGTTAATAGTTATGAAGTAGGTATCGGCATGTGAATGGTTTTATCCTAAATCTTAGTCACTCTTAACAATAATTGACGAACAAACGAAATGAAAATAAGCTCAATTAGGTACAGCGACAAAGAATCGAATACTATCTATTATTTTCCAACATTGACAGTCATCTTTTACTATTTTTATTTTATACAACATTTTTTATTATATTTTTACACGCCACACCAATTTACATCCAAAATAAATTGAAATGCGAAATGAATGAATGGAATCAAAACAAAATTATATTTGGACGGACAGACACAGATGCTAAAATAATAAACAGTCATCATAAATAGATTAAAGGAAAGTTTTAATTAATGTATTAGAATGTGGCCACTAACGAAGAACTTGGTTTTGTTAATGATATTAAAATTTGTGCTTTGGAGCCAAGTTTTGATCCAACATTTGATACAACATTGTAATCAAGATCAAACATCAATTCTTTTGCCTAGCATAAAGTAATTTGCATCATCAACAAAACCAAATACAATAATAAATAAAAAAAAGGAAATTCGAAAAACGAATTCGAATTTAGAATTACGTGAGATTAGTCCGCCAGTCTTCGTGTGGCTGTGTTGTCGAGCAGTTGGTGGCACACCACCTTGTTAGAGCGGTTGGCGGGCATGGTGCACCCCCTGGCCTTTGTCGTCTGATTATTCGGCGCGTACGCACAGCTGAGCCGACACAACCACCGTCACTGCGACATGGACTCCAATCGCCCCATTCTGATACCCGGCAGTCTAACAGTCCTGTGGAAAATATGGCTGATGAAATAAGAAATCCTAAGAAAAATAACATTCTGGAAAATATACGGAGAACTTGTTGTTTTCTAAGAAATGGTATCTTCTTTATGATAATACCCATTAATCCTAATACCAAAAGCGAAAGAATAAAATTCAAAGACATTCCAAATAGTATTAATTAACGAAAAAATGTTGCGCGAAAAATATCAACCTAAATTAATGGGACAGTTCTAAGTAGACTGAATGAAAATAAATAAGAACTGAGACGTAATAATCTTCATATCCATTAACAGTAAGAATATTTTATGAAGAGACAAGTAATTCATGCCTCTTTGCGGATTATAAATGGGCGTAAGTAGAAGAAGCCGACCTCTGTCGTCTCTCACAAGTTAAATGATCTGTACACCAAAATATTCTGGGTATTTGGAAAAAAATATATGATATTAAGTCAACGAGACCCAGGATTAGGGAAGTCAATGACCTGAGATTAAGTAAGGTCGACTCAAGATGCGTATGTTTAATCCCGACCTTCCTAATTTCGTTCTCTTTTATATTTGTCTCAGAAGCTTTTACGTTGTCGTCAAAGTTAATATTACTTTGTATAATACAAATTATTTTGTCTGTTACTTATTCATTACTCTAGAAAATTGAAGAGCAACAAAGTATACAAAAAATGACCTTAGTTTTTTCTGCAATGTAATCTAAACTTTTCTTCAACCCGTTTCAGGGTTAACTTACTCTGCATCTAATTTTATTAATACACCACACAACCTCCTAAATAAATTCCCGATAAGACCCCAAAACATCTCATATCCCAAACATAATATTTAAAAAATCTTACTAGCTCTTTTCCGCTTCCTTCTTTCAGCCGGGTCGGTGCTATCAGCGCGGAGCTTGCGTCGTCGCCTCGCTCGGTATCTACGGGCCAGGCTCCGAAGGGCTGACCTCTCGCTGGCGGCAGGACCCGAAGTCGGGAGCTCGTTAGCCGAACGAGGCTCTTCGGTCGTACTCGATGTCGTGTTCGTTCTACAAGAAAAGTGCAATTATATCCATCTTGAGTCTTTTCAGCTCACAGTTCCTTATAAAAATCAATGTGAATTGAACACGATGAACTGAAGTGAAAAGTAAATCGATTCATTGCGTTTTAAGTTAACAATGTGTTGAAATAAATATTCAAATACTGTACAACGGAATCCATAGTGGATATCCAAACTTCCAAACTTAATATTATAAATGCGAAAGTAACTCTGTCTGTCTGTCTGTCTGTCTGTCTGTCTTTGCTTCACGCCTAAACTACTGAACCGATTTGTGTGAAATTTGGTACAGACATAGTTTGGAACTTGAGGAAGGACATAGGGTAGTTTTTATTACAAAAAATAAAATAAAAAAAAATTTTATTGCGTACATACAGCGCAATCTATTGGTATAGAGTCGACATCAATTCAGTACTGAAAATTCAACGGAAAAATGTAATTATAGAGTAAAAAGGTATGAAAAATATAATATAATATAACTTTAAGTACAAATAAAATACTCTAACGGAGTATAGATAATTCTATTATCGAGTTGGTGATCGCGCAATGGTGTCGATCGTTACACGAGTTCGGTTCATGTTATTGTTTTAAATCATCGGAAAAAAGTAAATAAATAGTAAAAAGGTATGAAAAAATAATATAATATAATAAAACTTTTAGTACAAAGAAAATGCCCGAACGGAGTATAGATAAATAATCCGAGTTGTCACTATGCTCGATAGATGGCGTTAAGATCAAATTGATCGCGCTATGGTTTCGTTACACGCATTTGGTTGGGTATCGGCCGAATGCTTCGGTACTGTCGTGGAATTGAGGATTGATCGTTTCGTAAATCTAAAATTGGTTCCGTCGTAATAGTAGATTAAAAGGTTTATTTGTTGGGTTGTCTGGTTGTTGTAAAATGTATGTTTAGTTTGATCTTGATTATTAGTAGATACTAAAATTGTATGTCTAAATTCATTTTAATTTTTAAATTAATTAGATCGTTCTTTTATATAGTTTTAAGTTAATTATAGATTTAAGCTTGGTTGTTAAGGGATTAGGTAATTTGTCAAGGGAGACAGTCTTTTTTTCTGAAATGGCAAATCAAAATAATATTTTGAAAATAAGGGAATAACAACATTTTCGCCTTTTTCGAACGGCAATAACGGCTTTAATGCCCTAAGTGAGTATATATATCTTCAATTCAAACGCAGAGCTCATTATGTTGATTTTTGAAGAGTTCCCTAGAATATCTTCCACATTTCATTTTTGAAGAGATCCGGAACTATGTGGGTAAAACCAAAAATCTGCCGGAAGTCACTATTCCACGCGAACGAAGTCGCGGGCAAAAGCTAGTAAATACAATAAATTGAACTGCACGGTGCAACACGACGACGGTGGCTGACTCCAAATTGCTCTATTACGATTAGCAAAAAATACTATTTTTGAATTCAATATTGTGACAAATGCTTTATTGCATTCGTTTAGGTACAATTTATTGTAACTACACATTTTTTTTCTGTGACATTTTACTGGGTAATAGTGCAGTATAATACAGAATAGTTATTTTGTGATTTGTGTATGGTGTCGAAATGGAATCTTTGTGACGATAGAATTCCTAAGAATGACCTAAAACATTTTTTACAAAGGGGTTGCAGATAATCATGTATGTACTTGTACTATAAGTATTCTTTTGAAATTTCTTTCACTCGTTTGTTGTATCAAATTTATACAAATAAATATTGTCGTTTAGTATCTCTTAATTTATCGATATAAACTTACATAGAATAATACGAATAAGCCCCATCAGGTGTAGTCATGGATCCTTCAGAATATATCCTGGGCGCTTGTTCAGCTCTCTCAACTTCCTCTGCAATGGAGAGTGCTCTGTTCCCGTCCAATACATCTATGTTGTTATGATTCATCTTGTCAAGTTGTAGTACATCGTATCTTCGATCGTCTGTGTTGCGGTGGAATACTTCTGAGAGTTCATATTCGCGTAGCTGAGTGAGAAAATAAATATGAATATATATTTTTTTAAAGTACGGTCGTGAAAAATAAAATCTATATGATAAAAATTTCCGTAGTCTCATTTTTTCGATGTCATTTTGACCTCAGTTAGGCCTCGACTACACTAGGGCAGTGGTTATTAACCATATATTTTTGAAATAATACTGGTAACTATGTACAAGAACAAAATAATAATAATTAATCATTGATTCTTGGATAATTTAAGTTACCTTTATAAACTGGACCGTAGCAATAGGCGGTAATCTTCTTAGATGTGGATAGAAGAAAGAACCTGCTGGATGTGATGGATATTTAGACGTGATGCGGTAAGCGACTCCTTGCGGTGCGGTGGGCCAGTTCGGGGCAGTGAATGTAAAGCCGTTGTCAGTCCCTGCGTCTAGTGGGTCCACCTAATAACAAGTATTAATTATTTCTACGAGTAATATTATCGAACTGTTATGTAAGTCTATATAATATTAAATATCTGATTTAGTATGACTGATTTCAATTCTTACTTCGAGTAAAATAAAAAATGGAAAGAATAATTTTGCACAACTTGGTGTTTTTTAATAAGGGGGGAAAATCATCGAATGACTGCTCACGCCTGGGTGTCAGACTCTTATAGACTAAAAACCACCCCGTTCCGTTCCTTCTCCTGCAGTCCAGAGTCGCGGTAACCCGTTAGGTTCTGCACATCTTGGTGTAGTGCATTTTTTTCATCAGATTGAGTTCTTTAACACCCTATATTGTTATACTTACCTCTATAGTGATGCTGTCCAGCCAGTTCCCATCCACGCAGAGGTCAAAGCTGTCTACTCCAATGAACCAATCAGGAGACGGTATCATGCGAGCCATAACCGACACCTGCGACAAAATATTGCTGTTGAAATTACAATGACAAAAAAAAGTGGCCAAGTGTAAAATATGTATGTACCTATATATAATTATGTTGTATGCTACGAAGGGGTGGAACCCTATGTAAAGGACAATAAGATTGATTGTGTACTACTTATTATTTCTTATCATGTAGTCATAACAATGTCGACGTCACAGGTTTGAGTCTTGTTTGAATTGAAACATAAAACTGTAGTTTATATCGTTCACTAAAAATGTGTCTTAGAAATGAGGGATTTTAAAGCTAGTCTGTTTAGTAACGGCATCATAACTTAGATATATAATCATCTATCTCCGATTCCCAATTAACAAAAAACATCTTCAAAAGTCGAACTCAAATTCACAATCTAATTTACATCAACATTCCAAAAACAGACTGCCTCGATGGCCGAGTGGTCGCAAGTGCGACTGCGGGGCAAGGGGTCTCGGGTTCATTTCCCGGGTAAGGCAAAGTATAACTGGGTTTTTAAAACAATGCTCAGTAGTAGCCCGTTCTACTACTCCGTAGACTCCGTAGTCTGGCAATATGCTCATCCCCTATTACATGGGAATCAACATAAATAGTGCAAATTGGGTGTCACAGTAGCAGTGCCCTGATGTGCACATCTGCCTACCTCTTCAGGGATAAAAGGCGTGATTTTAAGTGTTATATCCAAAAATAGTAATTCACAAAATTCTAAACTAACAACACAGAAAATTGAGAACAACAAAATGAAATAACAACTAGTAGGTACTCGTAATTTGGACGCGACCATTACTGCCAAGTTGTTGGTAAAAGGGCAACAGAGCAATTAGTTGTAAGCTCAGTGAGATATACTCTGTCAACAGGCTAACAGGCTACAGGCTCAGAGGCACTGTTACTTACGCCTGGTTTGTTAAGAAATTCTTACTTAACTAGAGAATTTAACAAAATACGAAAAGCTCTGAACGCAACAGTATTGTATGCTCAAGGAATTGAAAGTCATTGAGTTGTGAATTGTGATTTATTTTAATTTTTATTATTATTGTTGTTATTGTTGGAGTTTCTATCTTATTCCTGTTTCTTGGAGTGTTTAATAAGTTTACTCTTGCCGTTGTTGGATGTGCAATTATTTATTGTGATGACGTAAATATCTGCAGGATAATTATTATCATTTGAATAAATAGAGTTTAAAATCTTCGACATCGGAGTCAAAACTTACCTATGTTTTGTACCATCATAAATTATTACTTGAACGCCTCATTGGCCGAGTGATTGTAAATGTGGGCAAAAGGTCTTCAGGGTTCAATTCTAGGACCGGCCAAGTATTAGTGCGTTCTTAAAAAAAAATCTCAGTAGTAGTACGGAGTCTGGAATTGTGTCCGGTAAATGGCAATAGGCTCACTCACTATTACATGGGACTCATAACATAAATAGTGAAAAGTGATTGTTACTTTGTGCAGTGGCACCAAGTGCCGTAACGTGCTCGGCTTACCCTTTCGGAAATGAAAGACATGATGTTATGTTTTATGTGTGTTTGTATAAATTATTACTTTTGATTGGAATTGTTATAGATATTTGGAGTACATTTTTGTTTAATATTCATATTTTATCAATTGTTCAATGCTTTAAAGGCATTGAGCATAAAAGAAAACCTACACAAATGAGATTCGTACAGCTGAATAAATAGTTCAGCAGACATTATTCTCGTCTGCAATAATAACATTAGATCATTATTATAATATTCTACTAACAGTCTAAAAATAAACACCCAATTCTATTCATGGACATGTTCCCAAAAAATATATTTACAAAACTTATACCTAAGTACTTACTTTACTAAACCAGTTCACTAATGGTTCTTCTATAAATAGGATGTTTCTATAAATAGAAATAATAACCTTCGTATTACATAATGTTTATGTACGTATAATAATGTACATACAACTAGCTTTCCGACTACGACTTCCCTCACTGAATTTTTACTACATTAATTCCAAATATTCTGGAATAAGTATCGACAAGAAGCTATCCTGCTTGTAGTGAAAACTTTATTGAAAATGAAGAAACAGAGTCTATTCGGGATACATAAAATAACGCAGCACATTACATAACATCACGCCTTTTATCCCCGGTGAGATAGGCAAATGAACATTACGGCACTTATTGCCACTGTTCAATTAAACACCCAGTTTTCACTATTTATGTTATTATTTCCATGTAGGTAATAGGGGGTGAGCCTATTGCCATATACCGGGCACAATTCCAGACTCCATGCTACTACTGAGAATGCTTTTAAATCCCAGTTATACCTTGCTCGACCCGAAGAAATACTAGACTCCTTGCCCAGCAGTCTCGTTTGCGACCACTCGGCCAAGAGGCAGTCGGTAATGAAATGTAACACTGCTCATCATTGGAATAAATACGGTCTTATATGTTAATGTCAACATTCAGGATTCAATAATCTATTTAAGCTAGTAGAATAAAGATTTGAAAACAAAAAAAATACAAAATGATACTATTTTTACCAGACGTCAATTTTCAATAGAAAATTCTCATCGATAACACTAACGAGGGACGAACGAAAGTTCGAGGGAAACCAGGTCAAACTGATTTGGATCTCCGTTAATATGAAATTTAAAAAATGTGATTTTTAAAAATAGATTTTCTATAATGATGTTGTTAAAGGTGATTAGTGGAATGCTTCTTTAACCTATAACTTCAAAAAAGAGTTTTAAGTAGTTTTGTTAAGAAATGTTTTGTACTTTAGGTATAGATGACATGCTAATTATACCCCTTAGTTTTGGCTCTCCATACCGTGACAATAGGCTCTAAATAAGTTAACATAACATCACGTCTTTTTTCCCCGAAGGGGTAGGGAGAGGTGCACACAGAAGTAACACCCACTTTTCACTATTTATGTTGTGAGTCCCATGTAAAAGGGGATGAGCCTATTGCCATATACCAGGCACATTTCCAGACTTCGTGCTATTACTGAGATTTTTTTTAAAACACAGCAATACTTTGCCCAACCCGGGAATCGAACCCGAGACCCCTTGCCCGGCAGTCGCACTTGCGACCACTCGGCCGACGAGACAGTCTTTAAACTATAACTTCAAAAAAGAGTTTTAAGTAGTTTTGTTAAGGAATGTTTTGGCTTTTTCAGTATAGATGACATGCTAGTTATACCTCTTGGCTCTCCATACCGTGACAATAGGCTCTAAATGAAATATTAAGACTCTTATAGTAATTGGCGAATATTATACAATGAATTTTTTTTTTATTGGAATTATTAGATATTTTCAGGAATAGGAATTACAGAAAAAAATATTTTAAAGAAATATTAAAAAATGAATTTGCACGTCAGCACGAATAGCGCGGTGGCTTGGCAACTGGTTGGCACGTAACATGTCGCGGGTTTGAGTCCCGGATCAACTGTTTGTGTAATCCACAGATTCTTGTTCCAGGTCTAGGTGTCATGTGTACGTGAATTAGTATATTTATAAGCGCACCCACGATATAGGAGAAAATCCTAGTGTGGAAGGTAAGGTTTAAAAAAAATAAGAAGTCCTAACTAACTCCAACATAATTATGTAGTTCATTTTAGATCAGGTTCATAACAACTTCGACGAACCAAAATTACCTACATGAACTTAGTTCTACAAGGTACTGACAATTATGAACTTTATACGGTAATAACTGTTCGTTCATTTAAGTTGCCTTTATAATATTGTAGTTTAGTTAAGAAACTATTGTTCGGTTTAGGCACAATTTAAGTTAGATACTTTTAATGCATTTAAACGCAACTTAACTTGCATAGGATAACAAAAATACATTATCTATCATACCACTCACATATATCATACCACTGGTGCTTTCAAAATCAGAATGACTGACTGCACAGTTGGTGCGGTGCCTGGACAACGGGCTGCCGTGCAACGTGTCGCGGGTTCGATTCCCGCACGGAACAACACTTTGTGTGATCCACAAATTGTTGTTTCGGGTCTGGGTGTCATGTGTATGTAAACTTGTATGTTTGTAAACGCACCCACGACACAGGAGACAATCCTAGTGTGGGGCAACGTTTTTTTGTTTTATACATATAAAAAAAAGAAAAGAGTAATAAATTATTTCGTCCCAGTTTAAATCGTATTCAAATTAATATATTGAAACTAAGCAATCATGAACTGATTAACTTATTAGGCTTTTAAAACGTAATTAGTAAAATAATTCACATTTCCTCATTAACGAATAAGCACATACCTATTAAATAATAAAATTAATTATTCACGAAACAATATCATAATAAACTGAAATACTTACACGACCGGACATAAAACCCTTTATTAATTAACACACAACAATTATCTCAAATAAATTCATTCGATAAATCGATTCCCACTCATACCGATTAACGAGTAAAGAATCGAAATTAGGCTTAACTGGCTGAACAACAAACATGATTCTCGATTCGATAAAACTCCCCTTTATTGCTGGAATCGAGTCGGTTCTTTTATTTGTCCGTATCGTAATTGGTGTTTGCTCTGGAAGCATTAATTAGTGATGAAATACGATATTTTTGGGCATTGTTTGTTGGGGAGGCTACGAGTGCAATTTCACTAGTACAAATAGCTTCGCGCCGTAAAATTATTGTAGGGTGTTCCTTGTTGGGTGACATACTTTACGTCATGGGGTCATTTGTTTGTTTTGTGAATGTGTCCTCGGATCTGACCTTTTTTGTGCTTTTCTCGAATTATCTTTTTTGTAATTTTTTATACGTAGTATAAGTAGAGAGTTATTTATTTATACCAATAATAGCGCAAAAAGGCAATAATTATTGTCAATAATTGTCATTTCAAAGTCAAAGTCAATGCATTAAGTTCAATTTAACCATGATTTGATACTTTGAAACGTCAACAAATACAAAATAAATAATAGTCTGTCAGTCTGTCTATCAATGAAGCTAGGTGATCGTTCCAAAATATAGATTCGAAAGAAGAATATCGAGCAAGAAACTCCATTGACTGAAATGCGCGATCATAATAGTAATTACTTAACCATGTACAAAAGGCGACATAAAAATAAACAACATTTAAAATTCCAATGTCTGGCCGCACGAAACGGGAATGTAACTGCGGCCTTATCACAAAATTGCGCTGTCCATTGACGATTTTAATTGCAAAATTATTGGAGCTTCATCTTTATTGCATTCGATTACGACTGCACTCGTTCCACCGAAATAATGATACTAATAAAATCAGACAATTTGCTGTGATTCGTTTATATCTGTGCGTCAAATTGTTTCGATAAACCCGATATTTAATTGGTTTGCGGTATAAATATGAAATTTAAAACGTTGTAACGCTTAATGATGCCGTTATTGCTGTATATGTTCGGGTTTTCATTTTAATAGCAATATTGTTGGGATCGGTTGAATCGAATGGTATAAGATTTTAACGACAGTTACCTGAATCGCGTTCCATTATTTAAATATTGGTGTTGAAATACGTAAACAGCATATATTGATCTACTTCAATTGTCATTATCTATTAGACTTTATAACTTAAATGATAAGATTGAAAATATATTAAAGAAATGTATTTATATTGGTGTATCTTGATATGCAGGTTTATGTATGAGTATATTTAAATACATGAGCGTTCGAAATGACATTCAGATTTGAGGGAAAACTAAAAGGAACATGACGTATGGATTTAGTTTGGACGAATTTACCCTTAGGGAAATATAGAATTGGAATAGTAAATTTTGTATAGGCGTTTTCCTGTTATAAGTAAAGTGCTGTGAAAATATTTCCGCCGGTATGTTATACTACTGAGATTGATACCTACTTAATGTTTATTTTGTGCTAAATTTGAATAGCAATGTACTCTATTCACTAGAGATTTGAGGAAATTGAATCTGGATAGATATAACGTATTATTTATGGATTGATATTGTTTCAGCGATATTCAATTTTCCTTATATTTCACCTAGGTATAGTTTAAGATGAATAATTAAAAATACCAGTAGTACCGCTTTAACATTCTGCACCACCCAATGGTTGACTGTCAGAGAATGCCATAGGCATTAAATCCACCAATTTCACAGTGTATGTGCAATACAAAAAACACATAATTAGCTTGACATGACATAACAAAAACTTACCCTAGAATGATTTCCATCAACAAAGAACTCAGCTTCAGTTCTCCCAGCGCCCTGTCCAACAGCGGGTGCCCCGAAAACGTCGAGCGTTCCCGGGGCTGACCCCAGCGCGTCGGATCGACCCATCTCGGCGAACTGTCGAACTGAGGCCGACACTCGAGTCCCCAGCCGGAATAACGTGTATGATCTGTCGTGTGATACACCTGGGAACAATGAGGAAAGAAAATTTAGATATGAGGTTTTTAGACAAGTTATCATCATGTGATACATACTGCCTCGTTGGCCGAGTGGCCGCCCGGCAGTGCGACTGCCGGGCGGCCACTAGCCACAAGGGGTCTTGGGTTCGATTCCCGGGTCGGACAAAGTATACTGGGTTTTGAAAAAAATCTCAGTGGTAGCACGGAGTCTGGAATTGTGCCCGGTATATGGCAATAGGCTCACCCCCTATTAGATGGAACTCATAACATAAATATTGATAAGTGAGTGTTGCATTATACAGTGGCATTAAGTGCCTTAATGTGCATCTCTGCCTGTCTATAAAAGACGTGATGTTATAGAGGTATAATGTAACTTACAATATTTGACCTTTACAACTATAATAGTAGTCTAAGTCAAAGTAATATTACGCCTACGTTGATATCTTGATAATTCGTACAACTGTGAGCTATTTCATTGAAGGGCAACGTGAATGAACGTGTTTCCCACGCAAGTACAAAATGTTTTTGTAAACGAAGTACTACAAAGCACATTTTAGAGAGTGTGGCGCCACCGTCACCGTTCGTTTCTACTCCGTGTACAAAAATATTTCAAAAATAGTTATTGCATCAATTTCGATTAAATAATAGTGTTAACGTGTACATCAACAAGCAGTAAAGTAGTGTGTTTGTGGACAGCAAACAGATTTCCATAAAAATCTAAATATTTCAAATAAACAAAGTGTCTTTGTGAAAAAATTTTAGAACCATAAAAACAAACATATAACTTCTAACAAGTGATCTTCCATGCCGACAATAGTGTTTTTGTAACAATGAATAGTGAAATAGTGCCTAAAGTATAATAAAATTGAAATAACAAAAGTGTTATAAATATAAAAACCAGTTATTCAATTTTCGAAAATTTCAAACTACCGCGTCCTAACGTACAAAAAAAATTGGCAACCATTATAACAACTACTATTTCGTCAATTACGTTAATGTTCGAATAGCTTAATCGCTTTGAACGCTCCTTGAAAGTAAGGAGTCTCGAGTTCTAACCTCGGTGGCACATAGAACTCTTTTTGTGGATGTTTGTACTAATTTATTCAAACATAATTTCAAAAAACTATAATCCTGTGGTATATAGATAAATACAAGCAATAAAATGAATTTTCTAGAAAACATTACTTTTCGACGCAACCGGAATAGGGCTTGCTCAGAAACAGCGCTTAATGACAGCGATATAATCTCTGACACACTTGAGTCTACCGTCAATAGTATGCCGGAGTTATCTCAAGACGAAAATGAACAAATTAATTTATTAAAAACTAAGCTACTGGATTTAGAATCACAATTACAAAGTGCACACCACGAAATTGAATTATTGTCAGCAGAGAATTCTAAACTACGAAATACTAATGAGGATTTATTGAAGAAGAACGAAGTACTTAGGAAAATTACCAATAGTCCAGTTAAACAAAAATTCAATACACCCACAAAAAAATCTAAGAAACAGAATTTGGAAACTAAGCAAACACAAACATTGATAACCAATACTACTGATACAGAAGTTATATCTACAAAACCCACGATCAAAGCCTCAACGTTAGATATTAATAAGAATGAAACACCTATAGACATGCAAAAAAGTAAAATATGTATACTAAGCACTAACAACAAAAATAGAATACTGTCGACCGCTGAAGAACTTCTATTAGATAAATACAATATATGTCACTACATTACACCTAATGGATCTACAGAGCAACTTCTTATCGGGATACAAACAAAGCTTCATGATTATACAATGACTGACTACTGCATAGTATTAATTGGAGAAGAGGACTTCAAGATAACTAGCAACTATGACAGCAATATACTATTAATTCGTAAAATATTAAAACAAGTTAGTCACACAAACATAATAATTTGCTTTCCTACGTATAAACTTACCAATCATAACAATCTTTACAACTGGAGAATTGAGACATTTAATAATCTGTTATACTTAGACTTAATAAAGCACGAGCATGCATACTATTTAGATTCCAACTATGATTTAACGTTTGATCGTTCTATGTTTAACTTACGAACAGGTGTAATAAATAACAATGGCATTCGAAACATTTTCGAAAATATACTTTTGTTGATAAATTATATTAATTCCAATTTCAACCAAAAATGTAGACTAAGTAGTAATACTGCTATTGTAGACGATTGTAACTCTCTGTTTTTTCGATATTAAATTCCTAAAAATTCTACACCAAAACATTGCAGGTCTTATAAATAAATCTGATATATTATCCATTCATTTAAACGAGCTTAAAGATAATAATGTAGACATTGATGTACTATGTATTACCGAACATTTCATGTTAGCGGGTTATGAAAGCATTTTTAATATGAAAAACTATAAACTAGCTTCAACTTTCAGTCGTAGCCAGATCAAAAGAGGTGGAGCTTGCATAATTGTCAACAATATACATAAGTTTAGAGAACTTCCTCAAATAAGCAAATTATCTATTAATAATGTTATCGAATGTTGTGCTATTGAACTGATAGAATCTAGAATTGTTGTTGTCTGTTTGTATAGAGTACCCAAACATAATAATTTGAATTTATTCTTTCAAAGATTTGAAGAAATTCTAGTACACATTTCAAAAATTAAATCCAATAATACCATTATAGCCGGTGACTTTAACATTGATGTATTAAAGTGCAATAATGTAACTTTGGATTTTGAATGTTTATTGATGAATTACAATTTTAAACTAGCGCTGAGACAACCTACTAGAACATTAAGTAACACGTGTATAGATAATTTTGCTCACAATTTTCAGAAACAATGCGTAACTGATATACTAGAACTTGGAATGTCGGACCATACAGCACAAGTAATTGAGATCCCCTTTATAAACTGGCACCTACCGTTAACAAGGAAACTTTACTCACAGCATATTACGGCCTTGTCGAGTCGGTACTGAGGTTTGGGATAATCTTTTGGGGTAATTCCACTCACAAGGATATAGTCTTCAAACAACAAAAACGTTGCATAAGAGCTATGTTCGGAATAAAAAGTATGGACAGTTGTAGGCCGCTATTTATTGAATACAAAATTTTATCACTTCCGTCTTTATACATACTTGAAGTTGCATTGTTTGTTAGAAGTAACTTGCACTTGTTTCCGCGCTTATCCGAATATCATGTTAGAAATCGACGTAATAATAACATTTGCATTCATCCATCTAGAACTGCATTGTTGCACAAAAGCATATTATGTCTGGGTCCTAAAATTTATAATAAAATACCTAAATCCATACAAGCCTTAAATTTTAACATGTTTAAAAATAAACTCAAACGTTTGTTACATAAGAAATGTTATTATAATATAGAAGATTTTTTGAAAGATAAATTAGATTTGTAATACAATTAACATAATTTTATTGTACCTGTAACGGTTAATATTGTCTTCTGTCTTTTTTACTTATTTAGTTTTGCATGTATATATTCTTTTCACTACCTGCTTTAATATTAAATTATAATTTTAAATATTTGCACGCCAAAACGGCATAACATGTAGCTCATTCTCCGAACTTAACACCATTGCATGTACTCTTGTAATATTACTCATGTTAACGCAAATAAAAAATATCTTTATCTTTATTTATCTTTATCTTTATTTATAAACTAAGTTGAATGGCGGGGCAAACAATAAGACAATCTTAATAGTTTATTGTACGTGGAATTTCTATTCCAGTTCCAATAATGACGTAGGTACTTTATGTTCCCTGAATATTATAAATTTAGATGTATGGATAGATGTTTGTTATTCATTTGTGCCAAAATAGATTGAATGAAATGACAAATTTCGATAAGTGACTGGATTACGATGTAAAGTATATCTGTTATCTTAAACTCGACTGCCTCGTTTGCCGATTTGTCACAAGTGCCAGGCAAGGGGTCTCGGGTTCGATTCCTAAGTCGGGCGAGGTATTGCAAAGCTTTTTAAAATAAATTCTCAGTAGCACGGAGTCTGGAAATGTGCCCGGTATATGGCAATAGGCTCACCCCCTATTACATGGGACTCATAACATGAATACTGAAAAGTAGGTGTTATGTTGTTCAGTGGCAATAATTGCCGTAATGTGCACCTTTTTGAGGATGAAGGCGTGATGATGATGATGACAAATATCTACTTATCTATTTGACAATAGAAAAGGAAAAAAATATTCAGTTGATTACTGCTATAATTCTGCTAGAACTAGAAAAACAAAAGAAGTTTTTATGGAAACAACAGCGACAATTTGATTGGCCATTTACAAAATACACACCCTCAAACAACCAAAAAGTAAAACAAGGAAACATCTAACAATCCATAAAAAAGTAAAATAAAAATGTACCTATAACATTTAACTACATAGCTACAAAATTCACGATTGCCTTATTATTCAACAAAACGGCTTACTTAATGAAGTTTTATTAAATTTTAGATAAACTGTAAAGGGTTACAAGGAAGGGTAACAAATTACTTTGTAAACAGTTACTTGTAAAAATATTTTATAGAAGGCCTAGTACGGGTTTTGTTTTACTTTACCGCGATTGTAACGTTACCGTGTCAAGCCTTTTCATTGGTTGGTTAATTGGAGCTAGCCAATCAGCGCGTCGAAAGTCATAGATTTGTAAAATAAACTAGTAAGTACCTACTAGGCCCTCTGTAGTCGTTCGTGAGTCTTTTTTTATGGCGTAAGCTGGTAAACGAGCTGGAGGATCACCTGATGGTAAGCAATCGGCGTCGCCTATGGACACCTGGAATACCAGAGGCGTTACAAGTGCGTTATCGGTCTCTTAGGGATTAGGAGTTTGAAGATCGTTGGGGATTCAAGGATTGGGGACATTGGGGAAGGGGAGGGTAATTGGGCCTCCAGTAACCTCACTCACACGACGAAACACAACGCAAGCGTTGTTTCACGTCGGTTTTCTGTGAGGCCGTGATATCATTCCGGTTGAGC